TACTAGACGCAAATTGCCATGGCATTAAAAGAAGCAAAGTTGACCAGAGGAAAGCTTTGTGGCACGTCTTGGAAAGCGATGTGTAAGAGGAGAATTCCAGAACTGTGAAGGTTGTGTAGCTAATCTCAGAAATGTTGGAAACACTTGGCAGTTCTGGCAGGATCTGTGAAGAGATAAAGAGTTTATGGCTTTTATCAGAAATGTGAACCAGAACGTTAATGACCTGCAGTGCTAAATCGGGTTTCTCTTCTCAGGCTGTGAGCTGTGCTGAATATTTCATAATTTTCTGTTTTGTTTCAAATTTCCAACATCCACAGCATTTTTCCAATCAACTCTGCAAAGTTCTTCTTGCTAATATCTGGACATTATTGCCAAAACTGGGAGAGCTGTCCCACAAACTAGTTAAGTAATAGCACGATATGTTGTATGCAGAGAATGACACCTTTCACCAACATTCCAAATTCTTCCATCAGAGATGGGGGCACAGTGCTAAACAGTCAGATAAGTTTAATAATTACATGTTCCAAAATTGATTCTGGAACCATTGAAGTCTCATGACATCTGTCCAAACATGGGATGGCACGGTAGCTCAGTGGTTAGCACTGCTGCCTCACAGCACCAGGCACCTGGGTGCAATTCTACCTTGGGTGATTGTCTGTGTGGAGTTTGCGCATTCTCCCCATGTCTACATGGTTTCATCTGGGTGCTCTGGTTTCCACAGTCCAAAGATGTGCAGGTTAGGTGGATTGGCCATGGAAGTTACAGGGAGTGGACTTGGGAGGGATACTCGTTGGGTGATTGGTGGCTCTGGACTGACAGAAACATGGTTGATTCTTAAATGCCCTGTGACCTGGCTTAGCAAGCCACTCTGTTCAAGGATAGTTGGGATATGCAACAAATACTGATTTTGTTAGTAACTTCACATCCCGTGAAAACATAAAGGAAAAGAAAAGATGAGATTCCTGAGCAACACCACCCTACTGATGGAAGGGCCCAGCATATGTATAAATGATAAGACGAACATTTGCAACAATTTTCAGCCAGATAAAGTATGCTAAGTGAATGCTCCATCTTGGTTTGCTCCTGAGATTCCACCATTGCAAGGCAATCTTTGTTAAATTAATCCATTCTATGTGATAAAGTGCTGACCAGATAGAACAAAGACCTGGGCTCTGTCAACATACGTCCATAATACTGATGATATGTGCTCCAGAAATGGCAACACACCCAGTCAAACTGTCTTGTGTTAACTGTCTCACCTGCTGATCCAGTATGGCTGTTGGGTCTTTCAGGATTAAGTCATCTTGGTCAATGAGGTTCCATGCTGTTTCAGCTACAACATGAGCATCTACCTGATTATGTGGAAAATTGCCCTGTGCTGTCTACAAAAAGCTAGACAAATTCAAGCTGGCCAATTTCTGCCTATCAATTTATTTTCAAATGTAGCCAAAGTGACAGAAAGATACGTTTTTGAAGTGTGAAATAGCACACAGTCGCCAATCAACTGCTCAAAGATACTTCGATCCGTTGGGGTACCTAGCTTAAGAACTCAACAGCGTTGCCCAAAATGTGTGTGAAATACTAGAATTTCAGAGCAGTGAGGAGAATGGCGACCCTGGTCATCGGGAAACATTAAAACAAGGAGCTCTAGCAAAATTGATGTCAGCAGGAATTAGATTGGAGTTCTACCTAGCACAAAGGGACAGGGTTATAGAGCAAATCATCTCAGCCCCAAGAAATTATTGCAGAATTTCCTCGGGGTTTTATATTTTCTAATCAATCTGTTTGAGATGTTATGACACACTTCTGAAGCAGGTTGGTTATGAACCTAGGCCTCCTGGACACTACCACAAGACCCTGAGTTCCTTAGGGTAGTAAATTAGGTTCAACTATCTTCAGCTGCTTAATTAATGCTCTTCTGTTCATCATAAGATCAGAAATAGTGTTGCTAACTGATTGTGAAGTGATTATGTTGGAACTCTCACTAATTTTTCATTAGTTTTATATTTATTCTTTTATCAATTTTGGTTTGGAGCTGTGAACTGAGAATGTGAGTTGAAGATGACTTGTGGACTTTGGGAAACAGCTTTTGATAAAAGAAAGAGAAGATACCAAACAAGCTTTTGTTTCTTTGTGAGGCCAGGACTGAATGTTAATAGCAGGCTGATTCTTGTTGAAAGGGTTCCCACAGATACATTGATCCAGTGAAAAGCATTGTGTTTCAACTGACAGTTGGTTGTAAAATGGGGTTAGTACCTGGGAATTGATTCCTACAAGTCTAGGAGACAGCCTATTTCAAGTAGGTGGCAGAAATTGAATGGTAATTGAGGTCTCAAGAAAAGATGGTTTTCTGAGGAGAAGCATTTGGCTGCTGTTGACGCAGCATAAAGATTTGAAAGTGCCTTGCCTAATCTACCTCACTGCCTTTTGGAAGCCAACAGATTATTACTACCTGTAACTGAGTGAAATGGAAAGATGACCCTGATTGACATTTCCAGAAAAGCAACCAAGGAGTCCACATCTATTCCTATGAAACAATGCATCGTGAAAATAATTAAGTAATCTGGCCAGTTTTGTTATTTTCTTCTATTTATCCTTTTAATTGTGTTTGTTTCTTTTGTGTGAATGGGAATCATAGAGGTTAACTGGATTACCTTATTGTTTTAATGTTTCTCAATTAAAGATATTGTATATTTAATAAATTTTTAAGTGTTTTGCATAAGGTGCAAAACTGGAATTAATTATTCATAAAGTCTGGTCAGGAACCATTGGAACAACTATTGAGGGTCTTCAAAGTCTTTCATTTCATTGTGTTGTGAATACAGGAGTAGAATGGCTGATTTGGTTCGGCTGTCTGTAACATTTGCAACTCCCTCACATGTTGAAGCCATTTTTTTAACCTCAAGCTGGATATCCCGTAAAACATATAGACTTAGACAAGTTAGTGGCAAAGTGTCACACAAGTGATCGACTTTTTCAACAACAGAATCAAACCACCTTCCATTAATATTTCAATGGCATTACCAGTTTGAAATTTCCCACTATCAAGATTCCAGAGTGTCGTTATTGACCAGAAACTTGATCACACCAGCCACATAAATACTGTAGCTACAGGGAGGTCAGAAGCTGGGTATTCTGCAGTGAGCGACTAATCTTCTGTCTCATCCACCACAAATTTTCATTTCCTTCACTGTCTAGAAAATGCATTGGAATAACTAACTAAGGCTTCTACAGCAGCACCTCCCATATTTATGACCTCCATCACCTACAAAGACAAAGATGACAGGTGCATGGAAACCCCGCCATTCGAATTTCTCCAAGTCATACAATTTTTTAACTTGAAAACATATTGTACTTCCTTCATTATCAATATCCTGGGACTGATTACTGCTGTGGTGCTATGAAGTAGTTTCACCACATGACATGCTGTGATTCCAGAAGGCAACTTACCAACTCTCAAAGGCAGTTAGGGATGGGCAATACATGCTACAGTGTCTGAACGGCTTGGGAAAAGTTCAGTTTCTATGTAGTGACTCCTATTCAACAGCAATTGAACCCTTATGGAGAAAGTACTTGAATTCCAATGAAACAGTACATTTTATTATTAACTTACACTCCAGGACACAGAGGTCACTATCACTATAATTAATCATTTACCTACAGCCTTACTGACCAAGTTTGTAGAAATAAAGTAAAGCTATCAATATTATAGAGTGCAGAAAGCAGGGCTTTCAGCCTTTGTTTAATGCCAAAATCATTATAGTTATTAATTTCAAGAATTATTACCTCAATGATGGATCTCAATGACCAAAGGTTAGTGCTGGAATCCTGTTTTTTTCCTCACTGAGTATACTCTGAGGATATATTTACAGAAAGACTGCTTTCCACTCTTGAATCTGGGTGCATCAGGCTTTTGGAGTTCAAATATTGAACAGATTAGACCGAAGGTCCTGCATATCACGCCCTCGCGAGTCAAGTACAGCATGACTAATCTGGCTGAAACCAGAGTTGGTGAATTTTATATGTCGTTGAGTAGAACATCTATCCTACTACAATCGCAGCCCATTCATTCATTACTAATTTCACCATAGTAATACCTTAATAAATTTTAATGAACTTGTATTTATACAGCACCTTGTGTTTTCCCAGGATATCGCAAAATGCTTGACAGTCAATGAAGTACTTGTAAAGCATTCATTGTTGCAATGTAGGAACTGCTGTACTGTGGTGAATTTGTGTAAGGTCTCTCAAACTGCAATGAGATAATAATTTGGTGATGTTCATTGAGGTAAATACAATTGAAAGAACTCACCCACCCTTATTCAAGTAGTGCCTCAGGATCTTTTTTATAATTATCTGAGAGGATAGATGTTTCATCATATGAATTGAATTCCTCAGGAGCATCCATACGTTTGTGCTAAAGACTCTGAGGTGACGCTTAACTCATAACTTTCTGACTTCAAGGGTTTAGTGCCATCACTGAGTCAGTGTTCACATCTTAAAATAAGAGAATTGATGAACAATGTAGGTGGGAACAGAAGATTAGGCATGGATATCATAATAAAGTCACCATAGTTTTAGAGGACTGTAGGCTGCTGTCTCATTAGGGATGATTTGATGGTGAGTTTAACCTGAGTGTCACCATGCCTCAGGAGAAGGCTGAGGGTGAGAAGGTGAGACTTTCATTGATGGGTTATGTGAGTGAACACAATTGTGACAGAGGTACCAAAGAGAGATCGGCCATTTTGTATCAAAAAGATTGATCAATGTTGAAATAATTGTCTGAGGCTGGTATCCTGTCACCAAGTCACCCTTTATTTACTTGTGGCCAGCCAGCTTGGAGTCAGTCACCTGAACTAAGGAGATTCTAATCTCCTGGTTATATTGGTCAGCCAGGGCTTTCCTGATTGGTCCAGGCTAACAACCCAAATCAATGACCTCATAGTCAATGAGGTCAGCCTGGTTCCAGTCACTACAAGGCATATTTTATAAACGGTATGAAGCTAGAAACAAAGAGTGGAGATAAATGGATATTTTTCTGGTTGGCAATCAGTGGCTAGTGGTGTGCCTCAGGGATCAGTATTGGGACTGCAATTGTTTGCAATTTATATAAATGATTTAGAGTTGGCAACCAAATATATAGTGTGTCAAAGTTCACAGATGACACTAAATTGAGTGGTAGAGCTAAGTGTGCAGAGGACACTGAAAGTCTGCAGAGGCATATAGATAGCATAAGTGATTCGACACGGCCATGCCAGATGGAGTAGATTGTCCGTAAATGTGAGATCATCCATTTTGGTAGGAATAATAGCAAAATGGGCTATTATTTAAATGGTGAAAAATTGCAGCATGCTGCTGTGCAGAAAGACCTGGTGTCCTTGTGTACGAATCACAAAAGTTAGTCTTCAGGTGCAGCAGATAATTAAAAAAGCAAATGGAATATTGTCCTTCATTGCTAGAGTGATGGAATTTAAAAATAGGGAGGTTATGCTGCAGCTTTTTACTTGAGGATGGATATACTGGCACTGTAGGGGGTGCAGAGGAGGTTCTGTAGGTTGATTCCGGAATTGAGAATGTTGGTTTATGAGGAGAGATTGAGTAGACTGGCACTGTACTCACTGGAATTTGGAAGAATGAGGGGGAATCTCATAGAAAGATACAAAATTATTCGGGGAATAGATACAATTGAAGTAGGGAGGTTGCTTCCATTGACAGGTGAAACAAGAACCCGGAGGCATAGCCTCAAAATAAGGGGGAGCAGATTTAGGACTGAGTGGAGGAGGAACTTCTTCACCCAAAGTGTTGTGAATCACTGGAATTCCCTGCCCAGGGCAACAGTTGAGGCTACCTTGTTGAATGTTTTTAAGCAAAGGTAGATAGATTTTTGAACAGTAAAGAAATTAAGGATTATGGTGAGCGAGTGGGTAAGTGGACCTGAGTCTACAAAAAGCCAGCTATGATCTTTTTGAATGACATCTACCACCTAGAAGAGTTTTTTGGCCTTGGAGATTGTATCATTCTATTGAATCTTTGCTGCACAGTAGTTGAAAGAGTTAAGTTTTGACGACTCATTGGAATTCAGTGTGGTCTATGCAATGAAAATAAATGGTGATTAATGTAAGGTGATGGTGGGACACTGGGGTAAGAGAGTCGAGAATGGTGCAGGGAGGAGTTCAGTGCATTGACTTAAAATTGGAACAAAATCATTCAGGTGATGCTGAAATACACTTTTTCAAACAAAGCATGTGAAAATCTAGAACTCTTTCTGCCAAAAGACTCATCAAAACTATTGTCAACTGACAATTTTGAAAATGAGCAGGATAAACTTTTGTTGGGCAAAGGTATTAAGGAATCAAGGCAGGCAGATAGAATTAAGATACAGACAAAGCAAGATTTTGGGATGGCACAGTGGCTCAGAGGTTAGCACTGCTATCTCACAGTGCTAGGGATCTGGGTTCAATGCTAGCCTTGGCTGATTTTATACATTCTCCGTGTCCCTGCATGGCTTTCCTCCAGGTGCTCTGAATTCCTCCGAAGATATGCAGGTTAGGTGTATTGGCTATATTAAATGACCTATAGTGTCCAGGGATGTGCAGGCTAGATGGATTAGCCATGGGGTCGGGGAGGGGAAGTGGGGTCTGTGTGGGATGCTGTTCAGAGGATCAGTGTGAACTCAATGGGCTGATTGGACTGCCTCTTCACTGTTGGGATTCTATGAATATTTCAACATAATTGCTGCACCTTCACTTCAATAAGTAGAAAATACTAAGGGATTAGAAAATGAAAAATGAACTCTTGGTCCTGTTTGTATTCTCCAGTTATCTTCCAATTTAGCTTCCTATGAGTCTCCAATGGTAGAAAGGGGAATTGGCTTCAGAAATTAACATTTTTCTTTTTGCTCACAGCGGTATTCTCTCAGGACTTGGAAATGTTTTGTCTCAAATTATGGAGCAGCAAGGCAAGGACCCAAATGTGAAGAATCTCACCTTTGATGGTCCAGTCAGATTTGGAGTATTTGGGTAAGAAGATCTGGTCTACCAATGGTGTTTTGTTTTTAACTCTGCATTAAGTGTAGTAGTTGAGTTTGCTGATCAAATAGTGCAAGTACCATATTACATATCTTTTGTATTTGCCCATTGTGTCAACCTCACCAGTTCTGAGGAAGGGTCACCGGACCGAAACGTTAACTCTGATTTTTGCCTCACAGATGCTGCCAGACCTGCTGAGCTTTTCCAGCAACTTCTGTTTTTGCTCTTGATTTACAGCATTTGCAGAACTTTTGGTTTTTATTTTGATTCTGCCACCTGTCATTGACAATCAATTTATTTGAATAATTTAAGTTCACGTCAGGCTTAGGTTTTTCCTCATTTGTTGTCCATTTTCAGTTGGTTTCCAGGTGACTGTTAGATGAAATTGGTCCGACGGCAGGTAAACATTTCAATGTTCCAACGTGTGCAGCCCATTAAAATATACTGTGAATCAGTCATATTTTAAGTAAGATTAAATGAAAACAAATCTAAATGAAATGCTTATAGGTGGTAGCAAATGCCTCGAGGTATGTGGAGTTTAAAGCCTTGTTATAAGGATTGTATAATTGATTGAATGTTTTAAATTAACACATTTGTTTCCTATTTCTTGTATCTCACAAGTGGGAAATACATAGGTAGAGCTTTCAATACAAAACAGGCCATCTGATTCCACCAGTTGGTTGGCTTTTTATCCTGTGTGAGCAAATAGTTAAACCACATTTACTTGCCCTGTTCTCATAATCCTTGTCACATTTTCTTTATCAAATTATTTCATAGTTTTGAATGTTGACATAGTTGTTACTGCAGCCATTAAACTTGGAAGTGAATTCTACAGCTCCTCTTGCTTTGTTCTATATCCCTTGCTTTTAATTTTGCAATCATCACCTCTCATTATAGACCCTGCAATTATTGGAAATAATCTGCCCTTTTAGGTCCTGTCACATATTGTTCCATGTGCGGTGTCATTTATTTCTTTCAATTTAATAAATTAATCACCAGTGACAAGGGAACTTTTAGAATTTGGTCACACCTGTGCTTTTAATAGACAGAAAAGGAAGATCTGTAGGATTTGTGCAGAGGCCAGGCTAATCGGGCATCATATGGTATTGTCCATTATATCACACTGGCCCCCCTTAGCCACAATTTATACTTCTGTGAAAACATATCTAAAAGAATATGCATGTCACACAAAGCCATATAATAACCATCACCAACATGAGTGAATCTAACCATATTCCTTTGGCATTAAATGGTATTACCATTGGTTATCCTTCATTATTCTGGGTTTATCATCGACCTGAAACATAATTGGACTAAACATGTAAATAATGTTGCAACAACAACAACAGGTCTAAGGCTGGGAATTCTACTCTACATCACACCTGCTGTCTCCCCAGAGTCTGTCAGCAATGTGAAAGGCACAAGTTAGGAATATGATTGAATACTGTCCAATTGCCTAAATAATTACAGCTCTTTCAGCACTTAAGAAGCTTGATACTATTTAGGACAAAACTGTTGATTTGATTGCCAGTCCATCCACTTACCTAAGCTTTCACTGCCTCCAACACTGATGCACAGTGTACAAGATACACTACAGCAACACACTAAAACTTCTTTAAAACCACCTTCCAAATCTGTAATGTCTACTACCAAGTTGGACCAGAGCAAGATGCTTGAGAATACAAACTACTTGGAAGTTCCTCTTCAAGCCACGCAACATCCTGATTTGGAACTTTATTGCTGTTCCTTCACTGTCACTGGATCAAAATCCTGTAACTTGCTTCCTAGCAGTTCATGCAGGCAGTTCATTAGCATCTTCTTGAGGGCAATTAGGGATGGACAAGAAATGCCAACCTTGCCAGTGAGCAGCATGTACATTCTGTGAAAGAAAGAATTGTGTCCAAATTTTTCACCTCCACACATTCCATAAAAATTTTTTTTGGTCTAATTGACCATACTCTTTCTTTTGTTAACCTTTCACTCTTCTTATATTTGTATCTTCCAGTTTTTCTTGAATTAACTTGCCAATATTTTATCATACACTTTCTTTGCATTCCTAATATTCGCTGTGATTTTCCCTAGCACTTTCTATACACTTGTTTAGATTTCTGAAGTAGTGAAATCTTGACATCTGACATATGTTTTCTGTTTATGCCTTATCTAACACTAGATGTTCTTTTGACATCTAAAGGTGCCTAGATCTTGGAGTCCCACCCATTTTCTCAGTGGGACATATTTGTTGTGAGCAAATCTGATGAGTGGCATTCTCAAACTGAAATAGCAACTGTAGCACATTGTAAAATTCTATCTCCAGTGGCTGGATGTAAGTTTATGCTCACAAGCAACTATATTGTACATATTGAACCCCAAGGTCAGGGATTTGAATTGGTTCAGCTGTGATTCACAACTCCCAATGCTGTCATCTCATTTTACACCTACAATTCCTCCAGCGTTTTTAGACTTATTAACCTGTAGATTCTCTTATTTTTATTTACAAAAACCCTTGTCCCAAGTAGAGGTGGCTACTTGGTAGAAAAGGTGTAGATGATGATATTTGTGGGAAAGTCTTGTTATTTTTAAGGAAATGCTCATTGGCAATGAAATGGATCATCCACTCCCTAAGGAAACTAAGACTGATACTGAGTTTGGAAATCAAAACTTCTGATGAAATGACATAAAAGAAGACAAAGTCTTCAGAGCTCGTAGAGGTTTGTGAGTCTGGTGGTGGAATACAGGCAAGCATCTAGGGTGGCTATGGAATAGAATATACTTTAGAAGACTTCAATGTCTGGCACCATTACTGACGGAGCCAGCCAAGTCTGAAAGGACCTAGCTGCTAGACTGGATCTATGGCAGATGGTGAGAGAAGCACTAAGGGGGAAAAACTTACTTGACATCATCCTCAACTGTCCATAAAATTTCTGTAACAGTGAACATTACATAATCCTTGTAGAAGTGAAGTGCGACATGGCACTGACACTGTGCTAAATGGATTGGCAGTTTCAAACAGAAGTAACAATTTCAAACTGGACATTATGAGGTGATGTGAGAATCAGCTGCACCAGAATTGTATTCAACAACAATCTTGTGACTTCATGGCTTGACATATCCCCAATTCTACCATACCATCGTGCCAGATGATCAGTCCTGGTTTAATGAAGAGTGCGGGAGGGCATTTCTGAGAACACCGGGCATGCCTAAAAAGTGGTACAATAAAAAAAAACTACTTGCATATCAAACAGTGGAAACAGCATGAAACAGATTGAGCAGTGTGCTGTTACAACCAAGAGATCAGATCTAAGCTCTGCAGTCCTGCTACGTCTAGTTATGAATGGTGGTTGACAATTAAATAACTGATAGGAGGAGGCACAGCAAATATCCCCATCCTCAACAATACAGGAGCGCAGCAAATCCATATAAAAGCCAAGGCTGTAGCATTCGCAACTATGATCAGCCGAAAGTGTCCCTGGATATGCCATATTGACTTCTACTTGAAGTTCCCAGCATTTCAGGTGCTGCAATTCAGCTGATTTGATTCACTGAACATGATAACAGGCAATTGCAGAATACACTGGATACTGCAGGGGCTATGACCCATAACATGCTAGGGATAGTGTTGGAAAATTGTGCTCCACAACTAGCTGGGGCCATGTACAGGCTGATCCAGAATAGCTACAACATTGGCATTTACCCAGCAATGTGGAAAATTGAAACAAAAACCTAAAAAACTGTGGATGCTGCAAGTTAGGAACAAAAACAGAAGTTGCTGGAAAAGCTCAGCAGGCTGGCAGCATCTGTGAAGAAAAAAAGAATTAGATATGCGATTTTCCAATCAAAAGAAACCTTCCCCAAATAGCATTTATTGCCTTGTTTCAGGTGTGGTGACCCCTTCCTCAGAATTAGAAAATGTGGAAAATTGTTCTGACAACAAAGAGGACAAATTCAACTCTGCCAATTAATCCTCATCAGCAAAGTGGTATGGGATGTCAATAGTGGACTTCTCAACAATAACTTGTTCACTACTTAGTTTGGATTCCACCAGGGCCACTCAGCTCTTGGCTCATGATAGTCTTGATCCGAACATGAATAAAATAGCTGAACTCCTGTGGTGAGGTGAGAATGACTGCTGTTGACATTGAGGGAGCAGTTCACCCAGTGTGATATAAAGGATCTCTCTTGGGAATCAATGGAGGGAATGCCACTGGCATTTTACACCTACAATTTCTATATTCATACCCAGCACAAAAAATGATGGTTGTGGTTGTTAAACTTCTCTGGAGGAGTTCCTCAAGGCAATGTCCTAGGCCCAAACATTTTCAGCTCCTTCATCAGTAACCTTCCTTCCCTCTATCATAAAATAAGTAGTGAAGATACATGTGTACTCTACAGTCAGGTTTGTCATCATAGATGATTCCTCCATTGCTGAGGCAGTTAGTGTCCATATACAGCAATACTTAAACAATGCTTGGGCTGACAAGTGGCGATAACATTTGCAACATATGAGTTCTGGGTAATGACCATCTTCTACAAGAGAGAAGCTAATCATTACCCCTTGATAGTTAATGACATTACAGTTGCTGAATGCCCTACTATCAACATCCTGGAGTCACCATTAACTGGAAACTCCACTGGACCAGCCATATAAATACTGTGTCTTCAACAGCAGGTTGAGAATTATGTGGTGAGTAACCTACCTACTATCTCCCAGATGCCTGTCTGTCATATGCAAGGCACAAGCTGGGAGTGTGATGGAATGCTGTCAATCTGTCTGGATGAGTGCAGCTCTAAAAACAATCAAGAAACTTGACAACATCTGGGATAAATTGGCCTGTGGAACTGGCGTGCCATTTAACCTGTTCAACATTCATAACCTCCACCATCAATACATGATGGCAGCAGAATATACAATCTCTTGCAAAATGCACTGCAGCAACCTGCAAAGACTCCTTCAACAGCATCTTCAAAATCTGTGACATATTTCATCAAGAAGA